TAGGGACTGCTAGCGCAGATAGCCCTCGTGTAGCTTTGCGCGAAATTCAAAAACAAATAAACAATTCTTATCACAGAACTGTGATAACGCTGTAAATGCTTGTATTAACAAAGCGCGTGCCTGGTATAACAAAGCAACATTCGGGGAATACATTATTGCTAATTTTAATGATCGATGACCCGATACTGTGGATCAGCCCTCTAAGTCATATTACCTTCAATACAACCGGGATCGCTAAAACATTACTCTCTGAAAAACCCCTTTTTTGTTGTTCTAAATATCTGACTTATTTCTGATCATCTACTACAAGCGAGCTTCAAACATCAACACATAACATGTTCTATTAAGTACGTAACTGTAAAATTATAATAAAGTTTGTTTTAGTAGGTACTTATGTTTCAAAAATAAGCGTATGATTTGTTTCAAATTGGTGCATTCCTTTAAAAATGAACACAGAGTTTTTTTTTATCAAATACTTAGCTTTCAAGATGAATATAAAGCTTTTTTTTAAGTTGTTGCTCAGAATTCAAAACAAGTATAGTTTGTTTTAAGTACGTGTTCACGTCTGAAATGACTTCTGAGTTTGTTTTAGGCGTAGGCGTTTATAGTTTTTAAAATATGTGTACTTCGTTTTAAGTACATAAAAATTATGATAAAGTTAGCATTGAATTTTTTTTACTAAGTTCTTAGGTATGAAAATGAGCTTAGAGTTTGTTAGTTATATAACTTTAAAACTGTTTTAAGAGTTCGTTTTAGAACGAGTACTTGAGTTGAATAAAAAACACGTGCAAATATATCAAGAGGACGACTACAACAAGGCTGTAATAATCACTGGAAACTAAATATATAGGAAGAGAGAGAGGGGGGCGGGAAGGGGGAGGCTGATGGATAGTACTGCTGACTGGTTGCTGTCCCTTTCTGAATCTTTGTGCTCTCTGACTTGGTTTGCTGATTGGTATGTGTGATCGTGTCGGACAGTGAAGTCTCTGTTTGTGAAGTGTAATTACAAGTTCTTGTTGTGTTGAAAATTAAAAACTATTTTCAACTTAAGTGCTGACCAGTGTTAATAAAACTATAAGCCATCCGTCCACTCCATCCCAAAAAATCTAGTGAAAAATCCCCTCGTGGTTATTAAATATTACTTTTTTTTTTCGGATATCAGCATAAAGCTACTCAAGGGCTATCTACGCTAGCCCTCCTATATCCTGAACAGATAGATTAAAAGGTAGGCAGCTAGCCAGAAACACCCACCGCCAACACGTGTCTGACCGAATAGTGGGATTTAATCGCCACCTTTATAAAACACCTACGATTCCGAAGTGCAGAGCGCGTTTTTTTTATGTAACAGGACGTGAACATTCGATCTAGAGATCCACAGTTCGGCACGCTAACCACTGAGCCACGACTTGCACTATCAAATATTAAATTTTAAGAAATTATCGTTTAAATAGTAAAAGTAATATAAACACAGGTGAAATTTGAATCCACAACCTGCTGTCATCTAAGTAAAATGCCCGTCCGTCCTGGTGCTCGTCGGTCTCAGGGTTTATAACGGTATAAATCAGATTTCGATACACGCGTTAGGCAGAACACAGATAGCCCATTGCGTAGCTTTATGTTTAACAACAAATAAAATCTAAATAAAATCCCCGCTGTATATTTCTATTACTTTTAGTAGTTAAGTGCATGTGCCTGAACTATAGAGATATATATTGTGCTGGTATATTCATGAGATTGAGGAAAAAGTATATACCCTCCCTCCCTCGCCTTAATTAATGTAACAACTAAAATGTGGACTGTCATAAGGTAGTACATAGCAATAGCAATTTTTAAATTAATTCAGGAAGGGGTGATTAAATACACCAATATTGTTGCTTTTCGAATTTTACAATAAGTTATTTATAAACCAACAAACCTATTGAGAGGAAACAATGGCGTAAACAAACAAGCTATTTATAAACCAACAAACCCATTGAGAGGAAACAATGGCGTAAACAAACAAGCTATTTATAAACCAACAAACCCATTGAGAGGAAACAATGGCGTAAACAAACAAGGTATTTATAAACCAACAAACCTATTAGAGGAAACAATGGCGTAAACAAACAAGCTATTTATGAACCAACAAACCCATTGAGAGGAAACAATGGCGTAAACAAACAAGTTTTTTATAAACCAACAAATCCATTGAAAAGAAACAATGGCGTAAACAAACAAGTTATTTATGAACCAACAAACCCATTGAGAGGAAACAATGACGTAAACAAACAAGTTATTTATAAACCAACAAACCCATTGAGAGGAAACAATGGCGTAAACAAACAAGTTATTTATGAACCAACAAACCCATTGAGAGGAAACAATGGCGTAAACAAAACTTTAATCAATTATATACATATATACTTGTTCATGCATGTAAACTAATGAAAGACTGAAATGATGTTTGATGGGAATGAATCTTTATAATTTTTATTTAACTATTTGAAAGAAAGTGCTACGTATACAAAAGTTGAATACGTTGTACGGAAATGATTTTGGATCCTCACCACATCAATATAGTCCATGTTCGCCACGTCTAGTTTTTCTCTATTTGACGACCGTGAATCTTAAAAACAGTTCTGTAGCGCAAGTTTCATAGCAAAACGCTTTGTTGTTAGGCTGATATGTCCAGAACACACCGTTTCTTCCCGTTTGCTTTCCATAATCCATCTAGTTTACGAGGACGACGGTTTCACAACGCCCGTTTCAACAGTCTGATCGCACAGAAATCCATAGACGCTGCGCTTGATGACTTGACCGGTGTGAATTCATCTTAATGATCTGAGTGTTCGAATATTTTGCGACGGAAAGAGCTGTTCATACCCTTTAAAAGAGCGGCAATTTTTCGGTGGCATCACATTTACTACGAAGCGTAGTTCTGATACATTCCGTTCTACTGCAGTTTTATATTGGTTATGGCTGTCACGTTACTTGAATGTTATTAGAACATTAAATGTGTGTGTGTGTGTGTTAGCGTCGAAGTCCGATATCGGTCAGTTACAATGAAGGTTTGGTTAAATCGTGATTTGGTCATGAAAAATACTCAATCCAGATCGCGAGTTCGTAGGAAATTTCGCCATTGGTTGTTTTGTTGTGTGTTGACATGGTTATTAAAAGTGTTATTTTGAGTACTATTTGTTATACACGAGCGCACTCGTGCGCATGTGTGAACCATATAAGTCGTTTCGTACTCGAGTTTTGTTTTGTTTCACCATAAACGATTGTCAGTAATTTTCACGTATGACATGTTGTGAGTTAACTTGCCAGTAAAAGGTGGACGTGATCTTCGGTATACCAAAGAATAGAATTGTAACTGTTTCAGTTGATGTTCGTCTTTTATAAGATTTCAGTTTTTATAACAAAAAGCGGCGAGACTGTTTTAAGTAGAAAGATAAGCAAATAAGAATTCAAGATAAGAATTATAATTAAAAACACGCCCCCTCCCAGTGGCACAGCGGTACATCTGCGGACTTACGACGCTAGAATCCGGGTTTCGATACCCGTGGTGGGCAGAGCACGGATAGCCCATTGTGTAGCTTTGTGCTTAATTAAGCACAAAGC